AATAGTTTGCTAGAAAAACATGTTTCTTAGAAGGTAACGAAGCCTATCTCAGCCACCATGCTGGTAAGACCGTTCCATACAACACAGAAGCTTGAAATGAGACAGGAACTTCTTCACTAAGTGTAAATAGAGACCTCTCTTAGCACTTGGACTTATTTAAATGAATACTTCCCCAGTGCCTGGGGACTCAAAGTGCTTTATCTGCTTTTGGGGCAGATGGTAGAATAATCATACAATATCATACCAATAGACAGGAGCCAATTCATCTACCAGCATATCTATAGCAGTGTACCCCAGGGCTGCAAGGCACAGGCACTAACCACTGGGGCTGACACTTGGGTTCTGTGAGCATGACGAGCTAACCGGAGGACACTGCTTCTCCCCGCATGACGAGCTGGCCAGAGGACACAGGGGGTTTTTTTTTCCCCCATTGAGCTATTTCCAAGCGTGCCGACTCTAAAATATTTTTATTTTTGACTTTACTTTTAGGGGCTTCGGGGAAATATTAGGGGTCTAAACAGACCCCTGATATTTCCCTTTTAAAATAGAAAAAGAGATTGAGGACTCTGTGTCCTCAATCTTTTTCTGCAGCCCATTATAAATGAACAGGAATCCTCTATACTGAGTGTTCCTGTTCATTCATAACTTGGAGATAGTATGTGTACTATAACCACATTCATGAATGAACAGGAGGTGATGTAGATCACTTCCCATTCATTCATAATTGGGGACACAGTAAACATACCATGTCCTCAAATATTTACAAACACTCAGCGATCACTGAGTGTTTGTACCACTCTCCATCCTGACAGCTGTCACAGGAGAGCTCAGCCTCCTGTGACAGCGAGGGCTGTCTCTGCCCACACCGCTCTCTTGATCTGTGACAGGAGGCTGAGCGGTGTGGGAGGAGAGACCCCGGCCGCTCACAGCGCTCTCCTCCCACAGTGCTCGGCCGCCTGTGACAGCTTTTCTCCTCCCCGCTGGGACACAGAGCAGCGCCCAGCGGGGAAGAGAGAAACTAGGAATGCACCACTATATCGGCAAGAAAGTGGCACTTTCAGCATTTTGCCAAAAGTACCATTTTCGGCTGATATGTTTCAGCGGCCGATATATTGGTGCATCCCTAGCCAGAAGCAAAGCTTCTCTCATAATGCAATCCCACTTGACTGGCTAGGGGAAAGGGCATGCAGAGTGGAGGATGGGAAGACAGACAAGGAAGCAATAGGTTGTTGAGCACACTCCACCAGGAGATTAAAATTCCGTGAACAGTTTTGCGTGATATCTTTGTGGATTTCCTTATTAGGGGAATAGGTGTGGTTTATGTTAAATCAAGGAAATTAGGTCACAGATTTCTAATGAATAGTCTACTACAGAGTTAGGCAAATTCGGCATTATAGCTGTCATGAAAATATAAATCCCATCATTGTAGTTTCACCAGAGCTCGAGTGCCGAGGTTGCCTACCCTTGGTCTACTCCATCAAGGATGGGCCAAGCTTTATATTCTAGAGTGGGACTAGATCCATAAATGTTAAAAATTCACAATGCCGGCATTATGTCATGGCACGTGAGACATCCATAATGTCAGAGAACACGTGACTGGCACAATTTTAGCACAAAGATGTAACAAACCAGGTAAGGTGGGGAGATGCCTTCAGAAAGCGTCTGTCGATGCAACAAAAGGTTCTCGATGAGATGGTGGCAGAAACATAATATAATCAGGTGGCATGGCAAGCAGTTGAAAATGTTGGCTGCAGTGTATGTCCTACAGGGCACAGGTAAACAGGGTACGCCTATGCCACCAGCCTAAAGTATTTCACTTGTTTCATTTCCACAAGCAATTTTTACTGTTGGTTTAAAAGCAGCTGTGTTTACCATATGAGCAAACAAGCCTTGGCCTTGGGCGGCAATATTAAAAGCGTGAAGTAGGAAAAGCATTTTTACAATAATTTCATTTCAGGCAATAAGAGAAGCCAAATCAGTGTATGTTCATGTCAATGCAATTGTGTCAAAGTCATACAGTTCACTCGATTACTTGAGTTGAATTCACTGCAGCCAGAGTTCATAGAGTACCTCACATTCCCCAAGAGGGTGCTACACCATGAACCTTCCTCTCTCTCGGCTTGCTGTATGACCAATCAGATTCACACTTCGATGGGGGGATTGAATGTGATTATTGGGTGTGAGAAAGTGACGACAGTTTTTTAGATCAGCTTTTCTGTATGTGAGTAACAAGGATCCTGCTGTGGGGCTGTTTGGGAAATAGGTTTTCTGCATTATAAACATGTAGGAAAAAAAGGGGGTTCCAAAACCCCCAGGTTATTATTGAAAGGGATTTGGGTGGACTGGTGCATTACAGCAACACCTGGATGAAAAAGGACTGAGCAGAAGTCAACACGTCCTGTATACTTTTCTAGTTTTAAGTTTTGACTGGAGTGTACTCCAATAGTTTGCTAGAAAAACATGTTTCTTAGAAGGTAACGAAGCCTATCTCAGCCACCATGCTGGTAAGACCGTTCCATACAACACAGAAGCTTGAAATGAGACAGGAACTTCTTCACTAAGTGTAAATAGAGACCTCTCTTAGCACTTGGACTTATTTAAATGAATACTTCCCCAGTGCCTGGGGACTCAAAGTGCTTTATCTGCTTTTGGGGCAGATGGTAGAATAATCATACAATATCATACCAATAGACAGGAGCCAATTCATCTACCAGCATATCTATAGCAGTGTACCCCAGGGCTGCAAGGCACAGGCACTAACCACTGGGGCTGACACTTGGGTTCTGTGAGCATGACGAGCTAACCGGAGGACACTGCTTCTCCCCGCATGACGAGCTGGCCAGAGGACACAGGGGGTTTTTTTTTCCCCCATTGAGCTATTTCCAAGCGTGCCGACTCTAACTACATTTATAGGACAATGCAGAGAGATCCAGCACTGAATTCTGCCCCATCCACCTTCCCTGATTAGAACTGATCTCCTGCTTATGTCAATATTGACTAGAAATTATTATTTCTATTATTATTATTATGTAAATTGACAGGGGTGTTTCATCCTGAATCAAGTTCACTTTTAGGCCTCATTCACACTGCTAAGAGCCGGCCCTTACAGATCCGTGCGGCGTGCACGGCCGTATCGGGCTGCTCCCGGGAAGGACAGGTGCGTGTGATTGTACGCAGCAGCCTGTTCTCTATGGGAGTAAGCAGCCATATGCTCACCCAAACTGCACATACGTGCGGGTGTGGGTGTCCGTACATGTAGGCAGACACGATGGATCCTGTCTGTGTCCGAGCACGGACACCCTCACGAACTTGCAGTTCGGGTGAGCATATGGCTGCATACTCCGATAGAGAACATACTGCTGCGTACAATCACATGCAGCACCTGTCCTTCCCGGGAGCATCCCGATACAGCCGTGCACGCCGCACAGATCTGTACACAGTGTGAATGAGGCCTTAAAGTCTTTAGAAACATTGGGAGAATATTTTCTTTTCAGAAGAGGAGGAGAGATGTCAAATGATTTCACCAGACGCCTTTATATTTTTGTTTTTAAACATGCCAACATATATATTTATAAGTTGCATCTGTTCCCTGCTCTTTACCAGAAAAATGTCCTAAGCTAGAGCTGAATAAAGTTAATGAAGCCTCACCATTCCTTTTACTTGCGTTTCCAAATGAACATGTGTTAAGGGGGAAGCAGAAAAGATGGGAAGCAGAAATACTTGATCAGTATGTGAATTCCATCATACGGTCTATTTTTTCAGTTGTATTTGTGATTGCTGGTAATTACTCTCGTCTATTTTGCATTTTGTCAGCATGCCATATGGATCTCTGGTGTGAGCTACATTTCAAAAAATCAAACACTTCCACACAATATCCTTCCTAAGTTACAAACACCTTCAACAGACCAGCAGTGTAGTGATAATGCCTAAACCTACATTAAAATTAGTTTCATTGACATAATATATATATATTTATTAATCACACACACACCAACATTTCTCAACCTTTTTCCAGTCATGGCACCCTTTAAAAGTATGTAAACTCTACAGGCAACCCGTCTAAAATGTAAAAAATATCTGGCCCCTCCATGATCCAGAAACCCCTGTCACATTAGGGACCCCTCTTTTCACATCTGAGTATTTCCCCCCACACTAGGAGCACCCCTTCACATCACAGGCCTCCTATCATATCAAAGTCTTCTACCTTTGGCGGCCTGTCTGCACCATTAAAAGGCATGATGCAGTTTGAAAATTGGGAGGCACCCCTGAGGAAGCCAGAAGCCACCCTCCAAAAAGGCACATCCACCATCCAGCCAGTTTTAAACATATGGCAGTAGTAAAGTGGTTATTGTCATCTTATAATTGAAATCAAGATGGTGATGGATGGATTTTTCTGGTAGCTAAATTCATCTCATCTGACCAGGTTGTGGTTATGAAAACCTCTTGCTTAAGCCTGGACTTAGAAACACAAAGATAATATATGGGAAGAACCTGAGTTTTAAAATTGAGAGTCCTTAACCATGTTGGGTTTTTCAGATATGGGGCAGCATGTAACCTACCCCACATGACAATGCTTGGGCTTGAGGGGTCAATCAACATCTGCCATGGAACCTGCCATTGTTGACTTCTTGTTTTGCTAGGTGACCGAGTGTTAGCTGACCCTTTGGCTTCAATACGGAGTCACTAACCCAGAACTAATTTGGCAAGGACTTCTGACTCTTCCCTGACTTTGTCGATGGGCATACTTATGTGGATTGTTCAAGAATCTGCCCCTACCCATACAGGGGACTACACAAAGCTAAATTAAAGGAAAAATCAGGCAATTATACAGACTATTTAAAAGACATATCTGGGCTAGAGTTTACTGTTTAAATCCCCCCACATAGTCTAATGAGACCATAAATATAAAGTATTTCAAGTCATGAAGACATTACATCTAAAAAAAACTGCACAGCAAAAATGATGACCAATAACAAACTGAGCCAGATACAGCTTTGCGTTTCATTCATATATTTTATATTTACAAAGATGCTTACAAAACAGTTCTTTAAATTGTACATTACATTAAGTAGACTCCCGAGAGTTTGTCTTGTTTGTTATTAAATATATAAAAATGCTGGTTAGTGATATCCAACCTCTGTACATTTATCTTGTTTAAAAAAAAAAAAGGCGTTTGGCTTCTGGGTCTTTTTACGGCTGTAGAAGCTGATCTAAGGTTCTCATTGATGATTCATATATAGCTCTGCAAAGATAAAAGAAATTTACGTTAACATACGGTGGGCTTCAATGAGGTACAAGGTATGGCACTGTGATGCACAACACTGACTGACTAAAGCAAATTGATGAATAAACACAGCACTCATCCTGGAATAATGGCCAATGAGTAATGTGCGACAGTTTATAAAGCACCCGGATTTTGTACTTAATACAATGTGAAGAAGAGTCATCATTCAGCACCTCAGAATATTACAATGATGTCAAACGCTGCAACAATCTAAACATTAAGCAGGAAAGATTGGGACTAAAATGAAAGAGGAAGCATGTGAATGGTGAAATGCAAATGGCTGCTTTAGACATCTGCTTCAGTTTCCATTGCTCTAGTTCCTGTTTATCAGACCCTGACTGCTAGTCACTGTAGAGTAATATTACAGTCAGAGAAGACAAGGTCGAATAATTGGCAGCTATTTACAAAAGCAAAAACCATCATTTGCTGCTGCTGATAAGCTTTTCAAGTATGAAAAAGTGAACTTATTTACTGACTGTACCATATATAAGAAACAATATGGTGATCACAGTTCATCAAGGAGTTTAGAGACCACTTTAGTGGAATTCATTAATAAAAGGTCACAGAGCAATGACATGATTTCTTATATCCTAATTGAACCAGTTATGGGCATGATGTGCTCCTCTGTAAACTGACACAGAAAAGCACTTTGATGTAACAATGTTATTATTGCTTCACTGTAACTGTTCTGGTTCATTCATAGCAGATCAAAGGGGTGATTTTTGATATGCACATGAAGTCAGTTAAAGCAAACATGCAAGTTAAAAAAATAAAAATAACTGTGTTCCTATATAAGCCCTTATTACCCTTTATCAGCCCTAATTAATTACTTCCACCCCTTCTCTCTCTAGCTATTGTTTTGCTGTTTTTTCCCCCCAAATACTAGTTTTTTTTTAAAATTTGTTCCTTATAACCCAAATGACCATTCAGTATAAATACTATCCATTCCAGGTGCTTAAAGGGTAACTCCACTTTCCCAGGTGAATTTGGGAAAACGGAATTACCCCTTCCAATCTGGCCCCCTCTGCTATACTTACCTTTGGGGCGAACACTCCTTCCCCTCCGCCGATGCCAGTGCACTATCCTTAACACCGTACTGCTGTGTAGCAAAGCCCTGCACTCTGGATTTTGAATTACACTTGCAAATAGCATGCTCTCATTGGTCAGCGGGGTTACCTGACCCCGCTGACCAATGAGAAGCACTTCTTGCTAAGAATGATTGGAGGGAGTAATTCCATTTTCCCCAAACCACCTAGCAATGTGGAATTACCCTTTAAAAACAAAAAGTGTTCAATATCTTATAGTTCTTCTGGCCAAAGCAGCCACAGCCTGAGTAAAAAAGTCTGTCCCCTGCCAAGAGCTGCAGGGAAGGACTCTCTCTTCCGCACTTTCTGTGGCCTTGCTGCAGAGGTCTGACATGTCCCCTACTGAGTAAGACCTATAGCTCTTCAAATCCACAAAGCTTCTACTCCCTGGTGATTGGAGAGCTGTATGACTCCGCAGGGCATGCCTTGGACCTTTGCTTTCCTATAAAGAGCAAGGGTTCCACACTGCATCTGCTGGCAGGGAACAGGCTTTTTCTAGTCCGGATGCACCGAATTTTGAAAGAAAACAAAGACTGAACACCTTTTATTTTATTTATTTCTTTTTTAGACCAATTGGGCTTTCATTTTTGTGTGATGGATTTCAAAAAAGGGAGAAAGCCTTTAATGTTTTGTAATAGAAAAAAAAATATGTCATTATACACAGAAGAAATGATAGAATAAAATTTGCACTTTTATCAACAGCAAAACTTGTTTTGAAACCAACGCCGGTCAACGTAAAAACAAAAACAAAAAACAAAAACCTTTGCTACATCTTTTATCCAATGATTGCAAAGTGAATAAAAGAGTTTTAAAAAAGGTAAGAAAAAGTTACTAAAAAACAAAACCCAATACATGTATTACTGTGCTCATTAATAGCAATGCTGTCACCAAATCAGTAGGCATATAACTAAAATGTGATTTAGGCCACAAGGGGCAACAAAGTACAAGAACTGGTTCAACCGACAGGCAGTGGAAAGCTACAGATTGTGAATGACATTGACATACTTCAATGAATTCTCTAGTAAACTTCTTTAGGGTTGCAGAAAAAAACAAACCTATCATGGCCAAACTCCCAGCCAGTTCATTTTAATTATTTTTAAGAATGTGTAGGAGTCTGACTGAAAGGGGCGGATCCTTAAAATGTGTGTTCGGCCAAAGCATTATTACTAGAGTGGAGAAGGGTTAGAACCCCTGTTATGTTTTATTGCTATTTGGAGCTCCATTGGAGTTATTTCTCTTAATCTATTGTTCCAGTCAGGACTGTTTCCAGACAGGATGTGAGGTTAAATCTCCAACAGCAACACAGACAGAAATACATTACTTTTCTTTAGAATAGTGGGTGGAAGATTACAACCCCTCTCAGGTATTTATTTCTGTACGTATCCCCGTTGCAGATTTCCCCTCACTTTGTGCCTGGTGAAACTATTGCTTCCCTGAAAGTAAGTGGGGGATGAAGCCCAGAATAGTGGTAAAAGCCTTGGCAGGGACTCCAATCCTTCCACACACCATCCAAAACTTGAAGTAAAACAAATGGCTGGACATACACTTTGATTGCACCATGTAGTCATCAGGCCATATAAACATTGTAATCTCATGTCTGAACATGCTATAAAAGGTATAATATACAAAGGATGCCATCATTATTTATTAGGGAAATGTATTAATACTAGTGGAGGACCTAGAAGTACACAGATATCAATCCTCTCATGAATAAAATATTTTTATAGGTGTAAGAACATTGGTATCTGACAATGAATATCCTTCAACTCAAGTCAATATCAGAGCTTGCACACCTTGAAGTGAAACGCGAGAGAGGAGGACAATATTCTGGCTGAATGCACAAATACTGTTATTTTACCTTTCTATGTTTTCATCATCTTCCATTGTGACTTCTCTGTGGTTCTTCAGCTTTCTATATACTGTTGCAGCAATGTCTTTAGATACTGCAGACAAGCGTTTCCCTTTATTGAAAAAGAAGAAATATCTATGAATTGAAATGTCTATCAGGAACAACGTAGTCGCAGAGCACAACATAAAAAAAAAATACAGCTCTGAACTCAGCAATCGGGTTTGTTATCTAGAAACCCAATCTCCAGAAGGTCTAGTAGACCAGACTGAATTATTATGGTTAGGCAGAAGAAATTTCATACACAAAGCCACAAACTTGTATTTTCTCACACAGCCACTCTGAAGGGTACTAATGTATTTATCACGGTCTTTATATTGGCAACCACCAGAAAGAGGTGCTGCAGGTCAGGTCAAACATTCTGAGGGGTATTTATCAAAACCGGAGCGGACAGAATCTGGAGCATTTGCCCATGGCAACCAATCGGTTTCTCTGTTCAACTTAGATTTGAAAATGAAAGAGAGAAGCTGATTGGTTGTCATGCACAGCGGCTCCAGATTTTGACCACTCCAGTTTTGATAAATTCCCCTCAGTGAGTTCCAGTAACGTGACTAAGGACTGCAGGGTTTAATAGCCAGCTTATTACAGCAGCCAGATAAGGTGTGCTGACTTCTAACTGCCCTCTCCCCAATGTATCCATGATTCATTAAAGTTGACTTAACCTTTAAAATTTATGTTCGCTTAAAAAATGATAAAATACAACTCGTCAAGTATCATTACCGTTGAAAAGTTATAGGATTTTCTTTTAAACAGAGACTTGATATCCCAATAATCTGTTGGTGAATATCTCCTTTATATGGATACAAGGAAGCATGAGAGGAACGCAGAAGGGGCTTCCAATCAAACTAGAAATCTTAGTATGAATTACTCTGCAAAAGCAATTTCCCAGTGGTACACAGTACACACAATGTATATGTATATGTAGGCTGACAAACCAAGCTGAATGTGTGTCCTACCTTTACTGCTGACCATGATGATATGTAAGGATGCAGTTAAGCTCAGTATTCCTTCAATCTCTTCCGCCAAAACACATGTAGCAAGATCACCTAAAAATGCACTTTAAAAAAAAAAAATAATAAAAAAAAAATAAGGTTAATTAAAAAAAATGCATCTTTATCTGAGCTAAAAATATTAGAAATTGGTTGGTACTACATACAGTACAAGAAAAAGCAAAAACTGCATTAATTTATTTCTAGTGTAGTGCAGCTTCCAAATAATTAGTACACAACAATCTCTTTGTGCCCCAATGGCACAATAAACTTTAAGCACATACCTATACAAAGTATATACACAAGGCAACTTACTTTAGCACACTTGACGTCTTTATAACAACTGACATTAAGCACCTAGACAACGGCGGCAACTCTGATACCGATGTTGGAATGGCAATCTCATCTGGATCTGAAATCTAACCATACAACAAGCATTCAGGGGAAAAAATTCTAAAACAACTATGATTTCCTGATATAAAGCAATTCATAACATGTGACTGTAGTTATGCTTATTGGGATATAAAAAAAAAAATGACCAGCAATAATTCTAATTTTATTCTTTAAAGCAGATCTCCAGGCAGACAGTTACAGTTGAAAGGATTTGCAATTCTGTGTGGCCAGTTTTAGAATACAACTTCCCCTGCCAGACAATACACTTTGATGTTCAACCTCCAATGCAACAGAAGCACAGTGAGGTCAAAACATACATCTGTCAGGTGGTAGAAGAATGAAGGTGTAGCAGCATACTAATAAGGTTATCCCTCTGCTCTCTCCTGCCAGCATATGTGCACTGTAGCAGAGCCTAATCGGCTCCTAGTGCTGACCTTCCCTCTCTTACCCTGTCTGCCGATGTGTACAGGATTACATGATGCTGATTACAAGGCAGATTCAGAAAACTGAGGCATGCTGGTAGAAGGAGGGATTACCATGTTTTGTTTGCCAGTATCCAATCATCCCATAGGTGTTAGTAGGTTCCCGTGTGGTTTTTTTTTTTTATCCGTTGTGGTCCATTGGCAGCCCACTCATAATGAATGGGCTGCTGTTAATGCAATGCACGCTAATGTATGTGTTAACACACCACAAAAGGTATGCTAAAGTGTTAATCCCCTCGTAAAAAAATAACATTATGAGATTTATATTTCCAAAAAAGTAATGACCACAACTTTGTTTTACATCTCTGAGTGTTACAAAAAACATTACTTCCATTGATTTTTTAAGAATTGCAAGAAAAGAGGGGAGAGAGAAAGGTAAAAAAAAAACAAAAAACAATGACATGTTTGAAAACCGAGAGCAATCTAATCCATGACTAAAGACCATCAATACCTACTTTCCGCAAAGCGTGGCTTATTTCCACCACCACAGCTGCGATGATTGTGGAGAGGGTCCCGTGGTGGACTTCTGAAGACGCCATATGCCAGCACTGAACTGTGTTCACAAACTGTCCAATAGGCACCTGAATGGAGTGCAGCAACTACAAATGCAAAACAACATGAGCACATGATAGAGAACTTTGTCCACAAAAGAGATAGACAAGAAAAATCAAACTAAACATCGTAAGAAATGTTTTATGAATGAAGATCTGCTAAATATTTTCAATCTATACACTTTTTTTTTTTTTAAAGAGTGGAGCATTCCCCTGTGAAAAGACTGCAGTTACCACCCAGAAGTAGTGATACCCAAGTAGTGGATGTAAAACCTTTCATCTTGATTTGTGAACATGAGACTTTCATTTGTCGTACTAGAATGTTTCAGGCCATTTTTTGCAATCTCGTTCTTCCATTATTGATACCTGGAATGCTTCATCTTGCTCTTTCCTCAGTCTGCGAGCGGAAACCTCTATAGCTTTGTGGAAGCATGTCTGTATAGCATCAAGGTGTTTATCCAACTCAGCATTTGCATTATTTATCTTGTGAGCCAGACAAACCTCTGTTACTTCTTTTAGTACAGACAGAAAAGTTGGCAGGCAATCACAGCACTCCTCTGAAAGATACAAACAGAATATAGTTCACAGTTACTACATGCCTGTGAAGCTAGCTTCATTTAAAAAACACCACCTGCACATACAGTCATAAAGGTAGGGAATGTTATATCTGCTATAGCTATATGCTATGGGTTTTATTGATGTTTGCATCCCTGTTGGGGAGATTTTCCCTGTTTCTGTCCCAGTGACACACACAAGATATTGCTGTGAACTGAGCTTTCTGTCTTACCTCTTTGGAATGCATTTTCTAGGTATTATGGGTAGGGATGTCCCGATACCGATACTAGCATCGGTAACAGGACCGATACAGGGCATTTTCACAAGTACTTGTGAAAATGCCCCAATACATTGCGCCGATGCTTGGATTCGTATCAGCCAAGACATGTAGTTCCGGGCGTGCAGCGGTGACAGAGCAGGGGGGCGTGCAGCGGTGACCGAGCAGGGGGGCGTGCAGCGGTGACAGAGCAGGGGGGCGTGCAGCGGTGACAGAGCAGGGGGGCGTGCAGCGGTGACAGAGCAGGGGGGCGTGCAGCGGTGACAGAGCAGGGGGGCGTGCAGCGGTGACAGAGCAGGGGGGCGTGCAGCGGTGACAGAGCAGGGGGGCGTGCAGCGGTGACAGAGCAGGGGGGCGTGCAGCGGTGACAGAGCAGGGGGGCGTGCAGCGGTGACAGAGCAGGGGGGCGTGCAGCGGTGACAGAGCAGGGGGGCGTGCAGCGGTGACAGAGCAGGGGGGCGTGCAGCGGTGACAGAGCAGGGGGGCGTGCAGCGGTGACAGAGCAGGGGGGCGTGCAGCGGTGACAGAGCAGGGGGGCGTGCAGCGGTGACAGAGCAGGGGGGCGTGCAGCGGTGACAGAGCAGGGGGGCGTGCAGCGGTGACAGAGCAGGGGGGCGTGCAGCGGTGACAGAGCAGGGGGGCGTGCAGCGGTGACAGAGCAGGGGGGCGTGCAGCGGTGACAGAGCAGGGGGGCGTGCAGCGGTGACAGAGCAGGGGGGCGTGCAGCGGTGACAGAGCAGGGGGGCGTGCAGCGGTGACAGAGCAGGGGGGCGTGCAGCGGTGACAGAGCAGGGGGGCGTGCAGCGGTGACAGAGCAGGGGGGCGTGCAGCGGTGACAGAGCAGGGGGGCGTGCAGCGGTGACAGAGCAGGGGGGCGTGCAGCGGTGACAGAGCAGGGGGGCGTGCAGCGGTGACAGAGCAGGGGGGCGTGCAGCGGTGACAGAGCAGGGGGGCGTGCAGCGGTGACAGAGCAGGGGGGCGTGCAGCGGTGACAGAGCAGGGGGGCGTGCAGCGGTGACAGAGCAGCCGGACGGTAGAGCTGTGACAGGCTCTGTCGCCTCCCTCAGGCTCTGTTACCGGCCGCTGCTCGTTCCTGTCACAGGCGTTCTAGCACAGTGCCGTGCAATCCACAGAGATGAAAATCTAAGGTAACCTTTTCCGCCCTTTCTAGGACACTCCAATTCATAGCAAGGCCTGATAGGAGGTTATACCCAGCTGTGCGTAAACAAAACATTACAAAACTTACCAATTTGTATTATTGAGAGCAGAATTTGAAGAATCTGTGCTTGAAAATCTGAGTCACCAAGGCCAACCATTATCACATCTTTACATACTGTCAGATAGGTCTATTCAGAGACAAGAAAAGAATAACACCAAATGTGATTTACGCATTATGGAATATTGAGACGTGGGGTGAAACACAATAGAGCTCATTATGCTTTAGGAGAATGAATCACTAAGTAGCAATAAAATGCCAGCCATTCAAACAAATGAAACGAGTACTTGTATATAAAACATAGAGACAATCCCTAATCACTTTGCTTATCTTCTTTCAGGATGGGGATTTAATGAATGTCATTTGACCACTGCATGCTCGACACAGAACAGATTAGGCCCCATTCACACCTGCCAATGGGGCCGATAGCACGAGTCACATTTCTGCGCGAGACTCATATGATTTGATGCAGGCAGAAAGCGTTGTATACAATGACAGATGCCACTGCCTGCAGCCGTTTGCAAATAATCGCACAGCCAGAGATTACTATGTATAATACAGTGTTAGGAGTATTGGCTATTTCTGGTTTAGATTTGTATGGTGCCACCATTGGCCACGCACCCCACTACACTGATTTTGGGTGATAATGCAGGACAGGATGTTGAATTTTAGTTAGTTTGGCTGTGACTGTCACGACTGTTACCCTTTCCTTGGACACTCATACACAGTGTGAAATTCCTTTGTTGACTGGCTAGTAAGTGTCCTGGAAACATGTACCTTGCTCTAAAAAGTTCATTATTAATTGCAGGGACATACTGGAGGTCTTCAGCTGCCTGTGTGCTTTTAGTGTGCATCTGCAACTTTAACCCTTTCATTGAGCTTTGTTTCAGTTTCCATTTGTTAATGACTGAAGCACTTTTTACATTTTTGCTGTGTGTTTCTTTCACGGCAGTAATATACTCTCCTTCTATGTGCACCCACACATAGTATATATCTTTTTTTAGATGACACATAGGGCTATATATTTACTGTATATCACATGTGTGTGCCAAACCCCTCATTTAGTAAGACTAAAATATTGAAAAAAAATGAGGAAAACAAAATGTAAAGAAAACAATTTTTCCCCCAGTTTTGATTATTTTTTTTTTTAAATAGCACAGCTAAAAAATGCATTAAAATTAATTCATTTATTTGTCCTTTATTCAGAAACACCTCACATGCCTAGGATTTCAGAAACTTTTCAGGCTAAAACTGAACGCTTAGGCCTTGTTCACACCAAGCGCGTTCCAGGAGCAGAGCAGTTACAGACCGGAGCAAAACTGCGTCCAATGTATTCCAATGGTATTTTTAGCTCCAGTTCACATCGCAGCGTTCCGTTCCAGAGCAGGTAAAAAAACAGCAGCAAGCCCTATTTTACCTGCTCAGGAACGCATCAAAAACGCATGCAAACACCCTGGAACGCACTGAAAGCCCATTTTAAACTAAAAATATATATAGATTTATTTTTAACCAAAAACGTCCCGGAACGCATAAAAAACGCGGCACAACCCACTGCACTGCGTGTGCATTAACTCATGCAGATCTGCTCTGCATTTGGTGTGAACAAGGCCTAACATTTAAATTGTTTTCCCAGCTAATAGCGGTCACCAGGTTAGACAGATGGCACACAAGGTGTGAAACTTAGTGACAGCGACAACATTTTGAACATCACCGTCATGATAAATAAAAAATTATCCCTTAGGGTGAAACCGCTATTCTGCACTTTTGCTCCTGGCTTGTTAATTATATCAAGCATCCATTGCATTGCGAATGGATTTCACTGTCTGCTTGATCATTTAATAAATTTTTGGTTATAATTAGGCTGCTCCAAATTTAGGAATAGCCATTAATAACCTTAGTGACACTAAGACTGACATGCACTGCAGCATGTCAGGTCAGATGTCACTAAAGACTTCCATGCTGAAACATTTAACAAAAAGCCAGTACAGATTGGGATTTGCTCACCCTGCTCTGTACAGCTGCTTAACAGTGATAGGAAGTGCGGTTCACACCGCACTCCTATCACTGCCAGACACCCAATCACTAAAAGGGATCAGGTGTCTGAAAAAGCTTAAAACTTTCATTAATGGATGCCTCGTTAGTGAGGCATCCATTAATGAATGGTAACCGCTGATCTTAGCGGTTAGCGGCATTCAGGGAGCCCAAACAGCTGCTCAGGTACAGTGTATGTGAGCAGTTATTTGGGCACTTAGTGACAGGGACTTACAGTATACATAGTCGCTAAGGGGTTAAGCAGGAATTGTTTACTTCCAGAAATACCTGCCTTCAATCGATTTATTGCTGTGCATTTCGCAGGTTGGAAGCTTTGTTAGATTAGGGATCACACTATATAGAGGGGCCTTGACAGGGCAGTGTGGCTTCCACATAGATTTGCTGCATATATATGCTATTGACATCTCTACCTTTAATACAGTGTTGAAAGAGTGCTGGCTTCAGATTTATATGGTGCATTGTTGGCCCTGCTGATTTTGAGCGTTAGTGTTGGACAAGATGTTTAATGTTATTCACAGGCATTTTGTGTTCACTTTTCAAAGTGCACGAATTAATAAAAAAATGTAATTGAGGTACCTCTTAAAAACAAAGCTAGCATCACCACACATAAAGCAGACATGTTTGGCTGGAAAGGTTTTACTCATGATAAATGTGATCTCACCTGAAGGATCAGTTGAGCCATTTTACCCTGCTGCTCTGTGAGGGGCTCACTGCTTCCAAGTATTCCAAGAATCTGACTTTCAATCCAACCACCAGTATCCTCCAACATTGACAAGTAAGTTCTTCCTTCTGAACTGAACTACACAACAGAATAAAAAACACATATGTAAGATTTAGATGCACTGCTACATGGATTCTGTTCCACAATTTCAGTGTAGAATGCCCAGTTTCACATTTTATAATAATTTAGCAGAACAAGCACATGATCAAGTTTGACAGTGTCAGACTATGAAATGCTGGAATCTGCGAGGAGACAAAAATACCCGGTATGGCAGCAAATATGTGTGCATTTAATAGTAGTGATTGCAAAACTGTATCACACAAACCATTCCATGAATATGAGACATTGGGTTTCTTAGCCTTATAAAGTGTACACCTAATTTCCTTGTTACATTGTGAAATACAAGTGTGTTCCACCCGAGCATTATCCACCCAGCTATGGAACTGGCAAGATAAGGTATGTGCTCAGCAAAGCGTGATGCAGATGCTTTCGTATTGCTTCACCATATGTATGGATGACAATCTTTAAAATACCGATTACTGCTTGACTAGCATCCCTGTCAGGTTTGTACTGGTGATCATTGATACCAGAGAAAAAAAAAAGTGATGGGAAAAATCAAAAAACAGGAGGTGAAATCTTCCATTGGGGGAACCTCTTTCTGTGACATTTTTCTAAAAAGGAGATGTCCTATTACTCCCAGACAGGAAGTGAAAAGAAATCTCCCCATCTCTGAGATACAGACAGCAAAAATAAATCAAATAAAACCCTTCACCAGTCTATAAAGAAAAAACACAGTGTAGATGCTTCCCCTCCGCCTACAATTTGTTATAAAGTAATTCATGAATACTGGTATTTTTTAAAAACTTTTTCTATGCAATCATGTGAATGCATCTGCTAGGCACTACATTTAATAGAATAACACAAATATAAAAGCGTAAGCATGTTTACGTCACATAAAATGAGGTTGAACAGTGCAATAACAACTCAGAACATGCTAGATTTCACTTTGAAGCAATTGGCGGATCGAATTCTCCACATAAATTAAGTCAGATATAGTTTGGGAATTATTGACATGGATTTCCCCATTTTTTTTAACTGAAAGCAGAAGTATCTTCCTATGTTCCGTATATCCTTACACACAAAACAAAAAGGAGGATTACCTTGTTTTGGAGGTGGATACTGAGCCTGCAGTAAAGACTAAAGGCCCTCAGGGAAGTTTCTTGGCTAAGAATGGGAGTCACTCCTTCAGATGGCTTCATGAAGGACCACAGAACCTCCTAAAATGCAAAGACAAACGATCATTTTTTTACCAGAGCAAATACTACAAATACAAATGTAATTAAAATAGTACATTTTAACTTTTTCAATGTATACAAGATTTTAAAATTAAATTTTGGATTTTTTTCTACTATTTTAAAGGAGAACTATGAGATGAGTGATTTCCACTCACGTCATAGTTCTAAGCCGACCTGTGACAATGAGACTGTCACAGGTCTGCTCAGTAGATCGGGAGGTGAGGGAAAACATACCGGGTTCCCTCCCCTCTCGATCCTGTCACGGCTCTCTGCCGTGACAGGGGGAGGGGCTGTATTCCCCTCTCCCCGCTCCGATCTGCCAGCGCTGACTGGCGGAACGGACGGGGAGGGGGCGGGTACAGCTGGCTCTGCCTCTAGATAGGCAGAGCCAGCTGTCACTCACGCAGCTGGGCGGATCCCGTCATCTAAGTCGGGATCCGCTCCAGGTGCGGGGTCTCAGTATACCACGAGCTGTAGCTCGCGGTATACTGAGCTTAGGGTGACGGGAGGACGCTAGTTTGTGTCCTCCCGTTACCCCAAGGAGAACTATGGGGAAAAACACTAACCCCATAGTTCTCCTTTAAATACATTTTACAAAATAATGTGCACCAATGACACCTTAGTCACAGACCACTATGGATCTTTAAATGCAGGGGTTCTTTACTGGGGGTATCAAAACCTTTTGAGGGTATGAGAACCGAATAAAGGGGGTATGGGACTGGATCTAAGTACAACTCTGATCTAGTCTGGATTTCTTTAGGGTGGACTGGGTCATGGTGCAATGTGTTAGTTATGTTTGGCTCTCTATGTCCGTAATTTGTGGTATATATTTGGTGTTTGCACTGTTCTTGCGTTTAGTTTTTGGGGTGTGAGGTTTCCGCCTTTATATTTAAACCTGTATAAACTCTTGTATGTCTTATCTGTCTTTGACATTTCAATGTATATTCTCTCCTTGCTTTAGTAAGTGTATTGCAACAGATGACAAAACGTTTCTTTTCTGTATAACAACTTGATTAAATAAGGTTTGTTTGTTTTTTAAATTAAACCTGAAGTTGAAGTTGTGACATCGACTTGATGTGTCAGATGCCATGAGAGTAACATTTTCAGTAACTAAACCTCAATTCCACGTTCTGATTATACAAAAACACCATAAAAAAACCTAGCTGTGGTTTTTTATGGCTAGATTGCGTATTGGGTCTTGCCCCTTTTTTTACATGCATTTATATTAATATGATAAAATCCTTAGGATTTTTCTTTCAGTTGTTTTGTCCCTAGCTATCCATATGTAAAGAAAAAAAAACCCAAGCTATTAACATCTTTTTGAACATGTACTGGTACCCAAGACGATGATTTCATCAGTCTGGAGAAAAGGGCATGGGGACATATTGGGGAATTTTAATCCTAAAATGTTAAGAACCCCAATTCTAAAGAGTGCACAGGAGAATTGGTTTACTTTCAGATGCTCTGTCTCTAATTGATATGAGATTGGTGTGGGTTAATCTGGTCTGACTTATTTACTTGTGTGTGTAAATTTGAGCTTGAACTATTCCATATATTGATCGAAGCTGTGAATGGGGATTTCTGCGGCAGGGCAGCTGTGCCCATTCAAGTGAATAACAGGCTGACACCGGCTGCATCTGTTTTATGACTGTCTGCATGCTATCATACATGGAACTTGCCCCCTGGACACCCTCTCTCTCCAAGGACAACCATCTCTCGCGATACGCAGGTATTTGTTCTATGCACAATTACATGCAGATGAAAGGTGAAAAAGAGCACAGAGTATCCTTGGTTGACTGAAAATGAGAAGGCATAATGTTCATATGCAATATTTCATATTTACCAGACTACTAAAATCTTTAATTTTACTCCTGACTATAACAAAAGGAAAATATATACAAAATTGCTATATGGTCCCTTTAATAACATGTCAATGAGCAACTGAAAGTCACCGCAAAAACATTTTTTTTTTAAACATGCTTTAGCACTAAAAACAAATATTACAGATCAAGTAATTGCTGAAAAAAAATGAAAGGATTGGGCCAATCCAAAGGAGGCGAGACATCTGATTAAATGCTCCTCGCAAATACCTTCTAATTCTTTGCAGGAAAGGGGCAACAAATCTGCGAGTTTTAGAAACATCCTGTGTCTAGAAGTACTTTAGTACTGATCACTAACTGATGGTAAACACACTTCCAGTAAAGGTTTCATATTTTAGTTTTGGGAATCCTATAGTGTGATAACCATCAGCAAAATGTTATACAATCATTTTCTGCCAAGCCGCTGGTAAATGAAAGTTTCCCAGCAGTGAACATGGACTGACAGTGTAATGAAAGTAAAATCGCATCAAACATAAAACAAATTTGATTGTTACCCTGGAATGAGGTTCTGTACATATCTTGTGTCCAGTTCTCAAGAATAGTCAGTAAATCATCTTTGAATTTATATTACACAACAAAGATTAAAGCAAACAGCAAATTTGTACTACTGTCTGTGTCGCCGCTGTGGAAATGCACCCTCACCATTTGTCCAGGTAACCATTGTCACGTGATAAAACAGTTTATTCTGAGTTGTCACTGGGAGGAATATAGGAGGAGAAACCTTCCAATGGGTACAATTTCCATTGTGACCCCTAAGAGGATGTTTTCCACTTTGGAGAGATTTCCTCCTGCTTCCTATTGTGTACATGGGGCAGGGATGTAAATTCTTTTCAATGAGACAGACAGCAAAAAAACCCGGGGGGGTTTAATCTTTACTCTATCTAAAATTTAAATTTAAAACAAAGTTTTGGCTTTAGATACAACTTAATGATCCAATCAGATTCCATGTGGAACAGCAGGCACCTCCTCTTCATTCTCGAGGGAACTAGAAATGCTTGTTCTATGTCAGGGACTATTGACGCCAGGAACAGTCAGAAAACTAGTGGTCTTTGGGCGCAATGTTAGAACAGATTTTCTAGAACATGCCCAGTTGATCTAAGAAAGTTTATAAACGAATTCAGTATTTAGAATGTACCAATTATCCATTTAAATGTCATTGACTAGCTTAAAGTGCATATGTCATAAGAACTATGTAAGCTGACCTCTTTCTGAAAATGCTGGCTGTTTGGTTTCAGTGCTTTTGATCAACAGCATGCAGAACAAGCATGCAGCAGCTAAGCTCAGATGTCCAGTTATGCATACTAGGGATGCACAGATACTTTTCAAGTACCAGTGCAGATACTTGGCATTTTCATGAGAACTACCGGGGTTGCAGAGGTTGCAGCTGGGACCTGGCTCTGGCACTCCACCACTGTCCTGAAATCATTAGTCTGTATTGTTTTAGAAAAACTGTCACATGACAACAAAAATGTATCAGTACTCGTAAGTACCAGTACTTGTACTCGCAAAACTGGTATCTGTGCATCAATTTTATTACCGTATATACTCGAGTATAAGCCGTCCCGAATATAAGCCGAGGTACCTAATTTTAGCAAAAAAAAACTGGGAAAAAGTATTGACCCGAATATAAGCCGAGGGTGGGAAATGAGGCAGCTACTGGTAGATAGATACCAATAAAATTACATTAATATTTATTTAAAAGAAAAATAACCTAGCTCTGTAAGTGGAAAAGGGGGTACAGGGCTACATATCATGTACTACGGATCATTTAACCCATTCATATTAGCAGAGGATAATTGTAAATCTATTGTTCAGTGCACTCTATATGTAGTATATAGTACATGTACATATAGAGTGCCTGCAACAATACATTTACAATGATCCTCTGCTAACATGAATGGGTTAAATGATCCATAGTACAGGGCTACATACAGATCATTTAATACATTCATGTTAGTATAATTGTAAATGTATTGTCTGCACTGTATTAGCAGTATATACTCTATATAGAGTATATACTGCTAATACAGTGCAGACAATACATATATAATTGCTGGCGCTGACTCGAGTTTAAGCCGAGGGGGGCACTTTTCACCCAAAAAAATGGGCTGAAAATCTCGGCTTATACTCGAGTATATACGGTATATGTATAAAAACAAAATCGTACATTAAAACAGAGATGTACAAATCCCAGGAGCTCCATGTGCTCCTTACAAATGACAGCTGCCTCCTAACTTTTGAATTTTTCTCTAGTCTAATCTTGGAGCTCAAAAGTATCGGTATATGTACTCGTACCGAGTACTGAACTTGGTATCTGTACAACCCTAATGCATACTAATTGTGTCATTTAGAAAGCACTGAAACCAGAGCATCTCCACAACAGCTTAGCACATAGCATATTCAGATCAGCAATGACAGCCTTCATATATAAATAAGGACAGGTTTCCTTTTAACTCTGTATATTACCTTATGTGTACAAGCAAGGACACATTTTCATCTGCAGCACCTGGGCTTTGCAGGAATTAACATTTGAGCAATAAAGTTAAGAAAAGTGGTAATTATAATATACAAAGATGCTGGAAAATATAAATACATTTCAGTTCACATTGTCCTCTTGACACATTATCCAGTGACACTTACAGGGTTATTCACAGAATAGCACAATCTAGGACAACATAGCTGATTTGGAAAAATTCACCAATTCAGCTCACTTTCCAGTTGAGCTATGTTGTCCTAGATTGTTCACTTCTCCTGCCTTCTCCAAACTCTTCACCCTTTTGTGAATAACCCTGTTAAGAGTCTTCTCATTTTGGACAATAGCAGTGCCTTAAGTTCTACAGTACTCTGCTGCAGCTTTGTGTTGTATATGTACCCCTATGTTGGGTACCTAGTCAAGTCCAAATAATGGTATCTTGGCCCTTTAATGCATGGAGATCTTTGTATAGCCGTGTAAGGCCTAGCACATTTTTCAAAAGCATATACATTAATAAACCAACAATGAATACTTGGAGCTCACCTTGACAAGCTCCAGCTGTTTGAATAAGTTATTTAATTTGTTTGTTTGTGCAGCCAGTAGACAATCTCGGTTCATGCTTTTGGTCAAAAGATATTCAATATATTTAAAAGCCAAGTCTGGTTTGCACTCCATGGTATCCTGGATACGCACTTTACGTGTAGAATCTTTTTTTTTCTAGGAAAGTAAGAAATAAATATAGACATTCAGCAGGTGTGTTTGGCAAGGTGCATTATTATTATTATAGCAAAAAAAAAGGTTAACATAATAATAAAAAAAGGATAGGGTAACATACAGGGCATAGCCCCCCCCCTCCCCCCCAAATGGTCACTAGTGCTCATGGTTTAGTAGTGCAGGCAGCAAACTGAAAGCTTGTGTGTTATTAAGTAGCACTAACACTTTATCTACTTTTTAACAAACTATCCTATGTGTATATCAAAAAGAAACAGGACCATTGCATGCTCAATCTATAGAGCCAGCATCTTGAGGTGCCCATACACTGGCCCAAATTTTGGACGGTTTTTAATGTGCTGGCCGTAATTCGCACAGTGTGTGTGGGCTGTCGGCTCCCTTTCAGCCGACATTCTTCGATCAGCTGATCGAAGGAGCCAGCTGGAAAACCTTCGTGCAAATAGAGCCGGCAGCCAATGAGAAGCCAATACAATGCAAACAGCAGAGATTCCCCCATCGACACGCTGTCTGTGTCGATGGAGGAATCGCATCATTTTTTTTCTGTTCAGCCCGCGAGTTGAGCAAAAAAAATTGATAGGTGTATGTCCAGCTTTAGTCATGAAGACTATACAATATTTGTTGCTGACAGGGTCACGTTTAGCAGTACTTCAAGGGAGAGATTTTGCTGATCATATTCTAAAACACAAATATTCCATATTACAGATGAGTCTGATAAAAGAATTGTATCTTTCAGAAACCAGAAACCGACTGAATGGGATAAAGTCATGAAACAAATATTGTTCTAGATAAGGAATGATTGGCCCTTGGAAATGCCAGATAATTCCATCTTCCTCTGATGTGTCAAATAATTGTTTTCTGAGTGAATGATTGCTTGAAAAGTTCCATCATTTATTGTACAATGTATGGGCAACACACAAGCATTACCTTCTTCTCTGGCAAAGCCTCAGAAAGCCAGTCTGTTATTAGCTCCAGGAGGTGACCAACTTGCCCCCAGCGACACAAGCAGTCAATGAGTGAAGAGTATTTGTTTTCTTCAGCCTCATTATTTAAATTCCTCAACTTGGACAATACAGAACAGCTAAGAGATTTTGGGTGAAGAAATGGACATAGAGCATAAATAAACTTGAACAGTACACAGTTGGCAAACAAAATGTTATGGCTTATTACACCAGATGTGTTAGTAAGATGGAGGGCTGAAAGTGATGCCTACCTGAATGTTGGGATGGCCGATGGGGGCATAAAGGAAGCCAAGATTATTAATGGTACAGTGCAGCGATCATCCTGTAAGTGGGATTACATTTACAGCTAAGTGAATATATGAAGGTTCTACAAGAGGCAATGTCACATTTTAGGCACAAATCATACAAAACAAAATAAAACAAACAATGGAGGCTAATATATGAACAATGGATCATAATCATAAACGCTGTTCACAGAATCCAGTCAGGTTTCATCATATGTACCAAACAACAAACTTGACTGCATGTTGAAGTTTCAAAATTGAATTAAATCTGAATACCAGGTAGGGCACCAAGCTTGACCTCCTTCTCCTATTTTTTTTTATAATGCACAGGGGAGAAGTCATATACTTTTTTTCTCCAGCTGTCTTTGGTTACTTGATGTGCAGGATGCTCTTCCTCTTTCTCTCAACGGAGGGAAGTCCTTTACTACAGTGCAGAATGGTGCTTTTGTAATGAAGTGTGTAAACCAGTACTGTCAGACCAGGACAGCATGATGATGCACCTACAGAAGGCGGGTTTATGATGACCACAGAAAGTGGACTGAGGGATGCTGGGCATTATTCAACCCAAAAGACCAGCAGAAGTTAAAGGAGGGAACAGGGAGTCTCCAGAGTGACAACGCTGGAAAGGATGGAAGTGTTGCAGCATAAGCTGTTATTTTGTTTTAACGCATGCTGGGCAATGGATTTTTTTCTTTTGAAGTGGAGTTGGGATGTAAGGTTACTTAAAAAGAACCTGTATTCAGACTATGCACATGAATTACTTCACAGTACCTACAGCTAGAAAGTTCAGGGATAAACATTTTACTGCTTGTAAAGAATATGTAAAATGTTATCTATAGTCTGGGCACAGGTGCACTTTAAATATGCCCCACATTGTATGTGATGTAGATATAAGTACTATTTATAACAAGGCTGTTGTGCAAAACACAGAATGTAGTAATCCAGAAATCCATAGTATTATACATTAAACAGAACAGTTTTCATTTTTATATGCCAAACAAATGATGAGATATAGATGTAAAACAGTGGATGACACCGACACGAAGACAACTGAACGGGCACTCAATTGCAGAGCAAACAGCACAACAGAATTACAAAAAAGACACCGTGAATTTACACCTTGGCTGGGTGAATGGTTAGCACTGCTGCCTTGAAAACTGTGAAAGACTTAATCCTCAATCCCAAGTAAAGATTTCGTCAGATGCTTTAACCCCTTCGTGACTGACGACGTACAGTGTACGTCGCCAGCATCGGGGCTGTTTAAACAGACTCCCAGTGACTACACTAGTATTGTAGTGTGAGATTGTGGTGGGGATGTTGCACTCCTACAGTGCAAGCCATCCCCCACCCTATTACTGCATGGGACCATATACTGGGAACTACGTGGGATCTAATAAGTTATTTGCAGGAGAGAGTGGACCTATTAAAGTCTTTAAAACCAGCACGTGATTCAACAGCTACAGCACTGAACTGGATGGAATAAGTATTTATGGAAATAAATGTATGTAAATATGGTATACAGTAAAATAATTAGCAGCATGTGCATAGAACACACTTTTACATGCACTAGTCAGACTCCAATAAAGAAAAGAAAAAGTAGCATTAAACTAGAAGGTGCTTTCTTTTAGCTTAAGTCAGAAGTCATTTTGTAACGTATATTGTTTTCTTTGTCCTTACCTTAAATACCCTGAAATACTCCGGCAGCACAGAGGCAAATTTGCTGATTGTGTAGTTTTTAGCCTCCACATTATGATCCAGAGCTTTTCTGATACTTCTCCACATAATCACTACAATCTCCAGTAAACTGGCCATAGATGTTGTATCTTCTTTGGACAGCACATTTTCCAGGACCTAGAATCAACCAGTACAAACTCTCATTATTCCAGGGGCAACCATGGATGCCTGTAAATTATTTCATATTCAAGTTGGCAACATGATACTTTTGTACATTTCTGTGTTTTTTTTTTTTTTATTTATTTAGACTGTAAAAACATTTATCAAAAGGAGAAAAAAAACTGCTGGTGGTGTTTGAGCAATTGCAGCAACAGGTAAAAAAAAAAAATCTAAAGTAAATGTTTATCTAACACTTATTTTGTTTTGGAAAGAAAGGGGAAGGATTAGAACCTTGTTGAGCTTTTTTGCTGTCCAGTGCTCTGTTGGAGGGATTTCGTTCTCACTGCAAGGGTTAAGTTATACTCATCCGATCCCAATAGCCAGCTTGTTCTTAGACCGGTCCCTGGAGCCTCCCCCCCTCTGTTGCAGCAGCCTAAGGTCCCATAAATCATCATGTCCTAAAACACGGTGTATAGACGTGAGGACGCAGAGGAACATTCCAATGCTGCAGTGTATAAGAGAAGCTTCAGTGACTGGAGAAGGAGGCAGCCAGCTCGGTGATGCGTGCGAGTATAACTTTTTTTTAAAAAGAACTATACAAAAACGAGCACTTAACCCTTGAAATGCGCGGGAAGCCCCACTGTAAGGGTTAATACAACTTTTGCCCAGAGTTCTTCTTTAAGCCTTGTAATTAAAAGGTGGTCATTGCAAGTAGTGTTATATCGTCCCAACTCTTGTCATGTTCACTGCACAACATGCTTTGCATGAACAGAAAATGTGGAAAAAAAAAAATCTACTTAATACTATAACTATATAATGAGCTATGCGGCATACACGCATCAGTATTGCCTGCATACAGTGATCAGAATAGAGTATTTTTTTGTGATAGCGGCCCTTTAAAGGGTCATGTGACACAGCTATTACCCATGTTCACTGTACACATCAGGATTTATTTATTTATTATTGGTATTTATACAGCGCCATCAATTTTTACGCGGCGCTATACACAGTGCTGTGTGTACGTCAGTCCCTGCCCTCAAGGAGCTTAGAATCTAAGGTCCCTATCTCACATGCATACGTACGAGGGCCAATTTAGATAGGAGCCAACTAACCACCTTCCAGCATGTCTTTGGAGTGTGGGAGGAAACCCACGCACGCACAGGGAGAACATGCAAAACTCCTTGTAGATAGTGACCTGGCCAGGATCCAAACCAGGGACCCTCAGTGCTACAAGGCAGAAGTGCTAACCACTATGCCACTGTGCTGCCTCATCATGGTTGCCTCGTAGAAGACTATACTTATTTTAATATGGGGGGACAGGCAGTAAAAGGAGCATGGCTTTTAATGTGCAGAATTCTGTACTTATATGATACTGGCACTCTCCAAACGGTAGGTGCAAGGATGGAAATAAAAAAAACTCCAAAACCTCATAGAAGCTGGAAAAAAGTAGGTTTTTGGATGAATACGGTACAGTGACATCCAGTACAGCTCAGGCGGTGCTGTAGTTATGTAGGTCAATGGTAACATTTATCTGTACAGGTTGTGCTTACCACTGCTCTGCAAAGATTATAAAAGTGCTACATATCTGATAATGTTTGGCAAACAGTGTGATACAATAATCCAGTCTAAACTATCCTATGAGCGGTTTGGCATGGATTGATTTTGTTGTAATGTTAATAAAAAATTTATATTTCGCCAACTATCCTTAGAAAGTTCAGAAAACATCACTTGGTGATGGTGTCTGGTTAGAATAATCCTACTTACACTTTTATTTTTCTTGTTATTGCCATCATTTTCATTGTCCTCTTCATTCTCCTCATTTTCACTGCAAATGTTCCTCTGCAGGCAGTCATTCAGACAGCGCCGTATGTTGAGCATCAGCTTAGCTGTAGATATAACACGGACAATGTTATAACATTTTAAATTAAATGTGTGTGCCAGTGTATTATTTATCAGCAGATACATGTTTAAGCTGTGCCCACTGTTCCAAATTAACTAAATGTGAATCATTTTCTCAGCCACATACTGGTAGGAGTATTAAAAGCAAAGATTTCGACACATGGTAAACTAGCTATGTGATTTATCTGATCAAATGACCGTGTGGGTTATAATATGCCAGTGAAACAACTTAAACAGTTAAAGAATGGACCGCTCCTCACAAGTATTCGATCACTAAAAAACGTATACCCAAACACATAAGAAGGGGTAAAAGAGAAAGGAACTTCTACCGTAGAGAGGTTGAATGGATCTTTAAATGAAATACTGCTTAACCAAAAGGGTTAAATGTTAGTTTTGATTTATTTTTGCAATACAATATATTACTTTACAGGTTCACGATCAAAATTAGGATTTGCATGATTTATGGAATATTTGCACCAATGACGATATTGTGTATATACTGTGTATCTTTCAGATGTGTTTGAGACTTTGTAATACCCATACGTTAATTTATTTCAGTATTGCAGAGCTAAATTAAATGCTTCGCTATGCGTTACATCACTTTGGTTGTGATTTGGCCTGACATGGGGTTTGCATTTGGCCTGACATCGGGTATATGGCCTGTAACTGTAGCCGTTTCAATGATTTGTTATTATACGTGGATATGAACAATTTGCTAATAAACCTTTCACTAGTGCCACAATATTGTTGGCTTACATGGATATTGGAATCTGTGTGTGTGTGTGTAAAAAAACACACATATAAAACATTACAGTGTGTCATGCTTACCAATATTAGTGGGGGCAGTATGTTCATAGGCATACTGATAAAACCTCCGGGCAGCCCCCGGGTTCATTTGTATGAGTGTCACACACCGCTCACACCAGACTTCCTCTGGCTCATTGACAGGAAAGAAAGAGTTAAACATCACATTGACAATGCGTCGACATACAGGGCGGGAATCGACTTCAAGTCGGGCTAGCAGGTGCTCCATATGGCAAATCTTCCAGAACTGGAAAGGAGGAGACAAAAAAGGAAATTATATCAAAATACTCAAAACTTGTGGATCTTTCTGATATATAAAATACAAAGCTAGATCCTCAAGAGACACACGATACAATTTGTAAAACCTGTGGTGGCTCATTCCAGATTAAGCCCATAGTAAACAAAATATAGTAAGCAAGTGGATCCTATGGAGTATATCAGCCAAACACTTATATGGCCAGTGTGGTTCTATGTGGGTTACTCCAAGTAGTACAACAATATGTTTGTGTTTAAAGCGGTCCTTGTGAGCTAGCCTGTGAAAACAGTAGGTGAAAGAACACCTGTTCAAATACCTTAATGGCGAGATAAAAGCATTTTTCCAAGGTCTGTGTTTTTACTCTGCTCACAGGAAACAAACTGCATAGTGTCTTATGCCTAGAACGCAATCCCATATAACCTATAGCATAATTAACTTAAATGAACCAGTTTGCATTTGTGCTGTAGTTTATGAATTATTGTGCTCCACAGATTCTGCATTATTGGGGTTTTAAAGTAAATATGCCCTTAAAAAACAAAACAGCAAAACCAAAATCTCTGCAGGAACTGGGGGCAAATTATAGGCAATGTTCAGTATATGAGGTTTTCCAGCAGAAAGAGGACTTGTTTCCACTTACTCGTATGGGGCAGGATGTGGGGGGTGCTGTCGGTCTGCAGCAGTATAGCAGAGGGCTGATTATCGGTGTGATAGATGTCACAGATACATATTTAGTTATCTAAATAGCTCCCCTAACAACCCTTCCACCACAACTCAGCTGCTTTAGATAAGGGCCCAGACATTTCTTTGAAGGAAGTTCATGAACTGAGGATAAAGCTGGCCATACACTTTAATATATTCTCTTTAATATTTTCAACCCACAGCCTGAAGGAAGAAAATATTACAGATTCCTCCATCAACACTAAAGGTTGCTGATTGAAGAATCTCCCGCTGTTTGCATCGTATTCTGATGGCGGCCGCCATCAGAATACCCGAACAGAGCTAGCAGCTTATTGGCTGCTGGCTCTTTTTGTTCCAAGATTTTCCGACCAGCTCGTTCGATCAGTTGATCAAGGGATTGCGGCTGAAAGGGTGTCGGCAGCGGCACACAATGTGCGAATTTCGGCCAGTTTATATTCACATTTTATGAATAAGGCCTCATGCACACGGACATCTGGGGATTCCTGCAGCAAGAACCTGCAGATTCTTCCAGCAGGAATCTCATATGTGTCCATTCCAATGCAGCCGCTGTGCCCATTCAAGTTAATGACAGGGTGACAGCGGCAGTACACAAGTAATCGTACATGCTACAATTACCTGCAGATTAGGAGAGATACTTGTCCCCGGGACGCAAGCTCTCTGCATTCCACGATTTCAATAGCCCCCAAGAAATAGCAGCAGGAAGTGTGTGGACAGGTTTCTATGTCAAATGTACCTCTAGGACCAACATATGTGAATACTTCTGTAATAATGGTACATCTTAAAACTAGATAAGATCTGTGTGTGTCTCTTTACAATAATGCTATACCTTAGCAGCTCTGGCAGCCTTTATCTTCAACAGCATATCCACAAAAGCCACTCGGACCTTCTCTGAATTATCATGGAGACTGTACTTTAGTGATGGCAGCATTTGCTCTAACAGTGGATGACTTAACTTGTTCTCCAGAAGTATTGTCAGAGACTAAAACAGAATTCAACAAAATTCATTTTAAGGTTAGTGTTAAAGCACAGCTGAACCAAAATTTGCATTGCTTTCCAAAATTGATGATATTGAGGCACCCTGTAATAAAGAATTATTAGTATCCCTCTGTAGTCATTACACTCTTTCACTGTTATTTATATTGTGGTGTCACACATTTTTTTTCTTATAGTCAAGACTGAAAAAATTAAATGTTTAAATATATAAGAAATATTTCATATAAATATTATTTATTCTGACATCCAGACAGAAGGTGAAGCTTTAGGCTCCTTTTTATCTTTTACAGGTTTTTTTTTTTATTATTTGTTTTTGCTGTTTATAGAGGTCAACTGTGCCACCTGAAATGTATAAACACAAGTGACAGGCAAACAATTTACTTATGGCATTGACAATTTTTACTTAATTGTAGCTCTTTTCACTGTGAATACCCAATCATGTGCAGATAAAATAAAGGGGACTTTGCTTTTCACATAATAGAATAACTCAAGTGAATCTTAACTTAGTAATGTTTCTTGACCCCTTTAGTAGACTAGCCTCATCAAGTCAGAGCAGTTTCCATAGAGGACTGCTTGCCCAAAGGAAAAATCATTTTCTGTGGCCACTTATATATATATATATATCTAGATCTATATCTATGTATAGATATAGATCTATATATACATATATACACACACACATATCGTTTGTTTTAAATACTTATAAAACATTACATTTAAAAAAATAACATTGACCTAAAACTACTATACTTTGTTCACTGTTCCAAACCGAAAACAATTTTTTGAAACTTTAAAGTCCACCCAAAACAGAATTGCTTTTTTCAGTACAGACATTACTCGGTTAGCGACTTACCTGCTTTGCAACCACTAGCACTTACGAGGGACCTCCGATCGACCTCCGACCTTGCGCTTCAGCGTGACGTGTCGCCGGGAAAGTGATGTCCTCCGATCTTCACTGCGGGTCCCGGTAAGTATTTTCATTGTATTTTCAACGCTATACAGTAATGTAATGATGCAGTACAGTACTGTATAGAGTTCCTCACTTAACGACCAATTCGTTTAACGACCTGGTCGTAGGAACGGAACTCGGTCGTTAAGTGAGGAATAGCTGTATTTAAAGATCTTGTCAAGTTCATCAAAGTATTCTAGCACCCAGCAAGATGGTACATTTTTGGCTAGACTAGTCCTTTAAAGCATAGGCCAGGAGGTCGATAGGTATACCTATATAGGGATTGGATGAAAAAGTAAGCATGGGCAAAAAAAGCCACTGCAGAATGCCTACTATAGTGTCCATACCATTAATATCTGACAGGTCTCACCCTGACTGAACAATAAGGCTGCCTGAATCTAGGTCCACTTTATCATAACCAAAGCTCTAAACAACCTATACCTTAAATACGGAAGCGCGCACATCAGCAGAACTGATATCGCCAGCAAGGTCACTGAGGATCTTCTTCATAAGGTCCGCCAGTATAGCTGGTGGGATCATCTCCCAGTACTTGGCAGCGATTTTACAGACTCCAAGAACTCCAGTGGATCGCACAAGAGGATGAGGATCTTCTAGGAGATTCTAGATTTGTAGAAGAAAAAAAAACAACAATAAAAATTGTTACATAAAATATGCAGCATAAAAAGAAAAACAGTCAGAAAAGGTTTCCTTCACTTACGAAAAGTTGCTCAAGCTGTTTTTGGATTTCACTGTCCATATCTGCATGGTTCATATTTGGATTTCGGAGGGGAAAAACTTCCACAAACAGCAACGCAGCGTTGGATCGGACCTCTGAATTGGGGGCCTGAGTGGAATCCAATCAATAGAATGATTTCACAGAAACCGAACAAGGCACAATATATATTCAGTTTATATTGTACAAGGTCAGAATTCAAGTCATCACCTTCAAACCTCTCCAAATAATAGGCTGGTAGAGTCTGCAAAGCATGGCCTCCACACCTTGACGCAGTTTCTGCTGGTGAAAGTGGCTTAGTATCTAGGGCAAAAAACAAATTATGTGTTAACTTTTTCACCACAAAAACGGATGCAAATTAAAGCATTTTGCACTCTTCAATGCATGCACATTTCCCCAGGGCTTATGCCTGCTGCAGGAACAGAAAGATAACCGCTGATCAGGCAGAAATCCAGTGTGCTCCTAACCTGTTGTTTAAGCTGAAAACAGAGTTCCTCTGCTATACTAAAATCCCATGCAGCATATTCAGCTCGGTCTGCTAAAAACTCCACATATCCCCCCCAACCCCTCTCTACATGCATACATTGGCCAATAGTATTTTATCACTCCTGTAAAAAAAAAAGTTTCCCTATTGG